AGCGAAGCATCTTCTCCAGCGATTCAGGGTTCGAGTCCAGCCGGGCTCTGAGGCAGCGCGGGCGCGGGGACGGGGCGGGGGAGGGGGGCGGGCACGGCACGGCGGCGGGCTGGGCTGACACTAGGCTGACGGAGACATGATGCTTTGTTTTTGCCGCCGCTACCTGCTCGCCGACCGTCGCCGACCCGCCCAGTCCAGCTCCTGAATGCGTGCCATAGTTCAGATTTTTGATGTAAGATTCAGGGTGAGATGTCCCTATGCTCTCTCCATAGTCAGTCCGAGCGAGTTCAGCGTGAATTCAGGCAAGAGTCAGGGAAGAACATTTTCCCTAGGGAACCTGTAGGGGTCAGGGGCAGGGCGAAAATCCCTACGGTTAAACGTGCGTGATTTCTATTAAAACTTTATCGTTCCAGCTTTTTACGACAATGCTGTGCCTTTGACGGCAAGCTGAGCGCGGGAAATAGTCGAACCGCCAATGTGTGTTTTGTATTTATGAGGTCGGACAGAAAGGCAGAGGGGGGGGGGGTAAAATAACCAGTTGCTCACGTTCGTGACATTCGTTACTTTCATGTCAGTGTATCGCATCATATTTGACCTAAAATATTTCTATGAAGATCAAGCTCAACCTTGTAAATAATAATTAAAATTTGACAGACTTTTTATTATGCTGAATTAAATAAACGTTATTTAATTCTGAACGTATTTCTTGTGTGTCTGGCCGTCAGTGACGACAAAGCTGTACGCGTGCGAGGTCCGGCGGCGGCACCACCTCGTCCGGAAGGAGGACGGCAAGTTCGATCCCGAGGACTACGACAAGAACCCGTCCAAGTACATCTCCACGTTCAGCAAAAAGGTATATACTATACGCCCGATGCCCGTGTTGCGGTCTCTAGATCCAGCTGTTGGATTGAGCTGATGCGGTGTTTTACCTCTAGATTGCGCCGTACGCGTCCGTCATCGTCAACGGCATCTACTGGGCCGTGGACTCGCCCAAGCTGCTCACCATCCCGGACGCCAAGCAGCTGCTGCAGCCCGCGCACACGCCCTGGCTGCCGACCTCGCCCGGCACGCCCGCGCTGCCGCACCGCATGCTGGGCATCTGCGACATCTCGGCCGACCCCGGCGGCTCCATCGAGTTCATGAACGAGTGCACGACCATCGACAACCCGTTCTGCCTGTACGACGCCGACCGCAACAAGGACACGGCCAGGTGCGTCCAACGACCGCAATTAGCGTATTATTTGTACTTGTTCGGGCGCTCTTTATAATTGTCGGGGAACACACACAGAACACCTGACTCCGGGGCCTAAAGAGGAGCAAACATACGGAACGCCTTCCTGGGTGACTGGCAGCCATGAGGGGCTGTCCATAAACCACACGGGCAGAGGAAGGGGTGCTAGGTTGATGTTATACATTTATTTGTACCCAAGAGAGATGGGCACAAAAATGACAAGAAGGCATACCGAACTATTTCACTACTTCCGGTATGCGACATTTTCGAGATGAATAAAGATAGTATTTCATTCGATCCCCATATTGTAATTCCAAGAAGGTCTGGGACTGAGCCCCCCC